AAAAAAAAGTGTATATTAAAACAGCTGGGTTGCAGAGGTGTAGGTCAATGGATTAAAAATTTTGGTTAGAGGAACATGTTCAAGAGATTTATTGTACAACATGGCAACTGTAGTTTATAACAATGTATTGTATTCATCAAAATTGCCAAGAGAGTAGATTTTAGGTGTTCTCACCACAAAAAATAAGTATGTGAAGTAATGTATAGGTTAGTTAGCTTGATTTAGTCATTCTACAATATATCCATATTTCAAAACATGTTGTATAGGATAAATATGTGCAATTTTTATTGTCAATTTAAATAAAATATGTAAGTAAAAAAAGTCTAGAAGGCTATATAACAACATACTAACAGTGTAATTCAATGATATAAGTAGGGTTGGTTTTTACTTTCTTTTGTCTTTTCTAATTTTTTCTGTAGTAATTTTACTACCAGTGTTAATAGGAATCTTAAAAAATGTATTTTTAGCAATTGTTATGTTGTATCTGCAACATGATCTATATATTTTGTCAGGGAGGTTTATTCTTTGACTCAGAACTAGTTTGTTCTTGAAATATGTACTTTATTCTTTTAATTAGGGCTTAAAATGTTAAAATATTTCTAAAGAGGACTATTTTGGGGCTCAACAGTGTACCTTTTTAATGAGAACGCCCACAGTTTAGGCATATTAAGGCATGATTTATTTTACTAAAGAGTTAAAATGATAAAGATTTGATAATTTTCTAATGTTAACTATCAGGTAGTGTTAAGAACATTTGATCTGATATTTTGACCATCAGCCCCACTCTGTGACAGCATGCAGTTCATTTTGCTGTAATGTGGATGGCACTTTCCTGGAAGATTTGGGCACAGGATCCCATGGAATATTAGGACTGGGAATGTTTTATACTACACAGACCCAGAAACTGATGTTAACCAATTAATAATGGCCTTGGAAACTTAAAAAAATCTCCAAGTTCCACTGACACAGTGAGAGTGTATGGCTTGCTACCATATAACTATATGTTAGTTTTCCAGATTTCTGGTCTCAAGATCAGCTCTTTCTGTGGCTACAACTCATTATTTTAATTTGCCAGTAATAAGACGCATCCTAACAATATCTAGTTTTAACACAATTAAATTCACCTCTTTTATGCCTTGTTTACTTCAAATATGAAAACATACTCTTTAAAATTATTTTTTAAATTATGAGTGATCGGTGGCATGGTTTTTAAAAATTATTAAGCACAGAAGGATATAAAATGACTGTCAGTCACCTGTCACCTTCACCCCCAGAAATAGACATGGTTAATAATTTCTTGTATGCTCTTGCAGACATTTTAATGCATTGAAAGCATATGTTTTTTTCTTTTCACAAGTAGCATATCGTAGACATCAGAATCCTGAAATCTGGGGCTGGAGCTTATGCCATGTTTTATTTTCAACATTTTACTATTGACATTGATTTTTACTTTGAATATTTTACTTTTTGCTCTATTTTTAAAATGTGTGAATATTTTATTTTAAAAAGGAGGAGTGTCTGCATGTACAGAATAACTTCAAGTATATTCTCTTTCCTCTTCTCTAAATTATATAATTTTATCTCTTTCAGCATTGGGGGCCTTATTCTGGACACAACTGTATCTGATCCAAACTTGGTTGGGATTGTTGTTTACACGCCAGTTATTAATGGTAAGAATTAGATATACTGCTTCATGATAATATTAAATCTTTGTAATCTCTTAGGTTCTCTTAGGAGTCTTAGGGCTCAGATGCAAGAGGTCTGTCCTCCCATCCCAACCATTTTCCCTCCAACACCAAGTTGTTGTTTTCAATGGAAATTACATTCCCAGGTCTCAGAATGTGGAATACATTTTTGAAAAGTGCTCTTTCTTAATCGTATCATTAACTACTATTTTGAGAGTCAGGTATACTTGACTTAAGATTGGTGTGGCAAAATATATTTCAGATTTTGTGTATTATTTACATTGGGATTATCTGCTATTGTATATTGTTTTGTTGCTTCTTTTGTCAATTTTTGTGGATAAATTAGAGACAGCTGGGTTTGAACATTGCTTGAGTCCATTCAGTTCATTAAAATCTGGGCTGGGCACGGTGGCTCATGACTGCAATCTCAGCACTTTGGGAGCCCTAGGTGGGAGGGTCAGTTGAGGCTAGGAGTTTGAGGCCAGCTATGGCAACATAGTGAGACCCCCATCTCTATAAAAAAATTCAAAAATTAGCCAAGTTTGGTGGCACACAGCTGTAGTCCCAAGTTTGTCCTCAGGAGGTTGAGATGGGAGGATTGCTTGAGCCAAGGAGTTAGAGGCTATAGTAAGCCACTGCATGGTAGCCTGGGAAACAGAGTGAGACTGTGTCTTAAAAAAAATAAATAAAAGAGAAAAATCTGTTGGTCTCAGCTGATCCCTTTAAAAATCTGCCTTATATATTTTTTGTTATCTGTGAAATGGGAATTATAATACTTAAATTCACAGACATTTATGTATGAATTACATTTAATAAGATCATTTTAATCCAGTCTACTGGCTTTTGTGGTAGCTGTCATTAAAGTGATTTTTTTTTTCCTTTTTTTTCTTTTTTTTTTTTGTCTGTCACCCAGGCTGGAGTACGGTGGTACAATCTTCACTCACTGCAACCTCCACCTCCTGGGTTCAAGCGATTCTCCTGCCTCAGCCTCCCAAGTAGCTGGGACTACAGGCATCCGCCACCACGTCCAGCTATATTTTTGTAATTTTAGTAGAGATGGGTTTTCACCATGTTAGCCAGGTTGGGAATTTTTTTTTTTTTTTTTTTTTTTTTTTACTTTAAGTTCTGGGATACATGTGCCAAATGTGCAGGTTTGTTACATAGTTATACAGGTGCCATGGTGATTTGCTGCACCTGTCAACCTGTCATCTCGGTTTTAAGCCCCGCATGCATTAGGTGTTTGTGCTAATAATCTCCCTCCCCTTGCCCCCCACCTCCTGACAGGCCCCAGTGTGTGATGTTCTCCTCCCTGTGTTCATGTATTCTCATTGTTCAACTCAACTCTAAAGTGGATTTTAAGTATAGCCTAGACCAATATAATTTAAAAAGTAATTTTACTTGTGGGAAAACATGTCCTAGGATATACTACATATTTAATGTAATTTACTTTGCATATTTATGTAAAAAGGGAATATGTCAGTCAGGTATGGTGGCTCATGCCTGTAATATCAGCACTTTGGGAGGCCAAGCCAGGTGGATTGCTTGAGCTCATGAGTTTGAGACCAGCCTGGGCAACATGACCAAACCCTGCCTGCATAAAAAATATAAAAATTAGCCAGGCATGGTGGTACATGCCTTTGGTCCCAGCTACTTGGGAAGCTGAAGCAAAAGGATCTTCTGAGCCTGAGAGGGAGGCAGAGGTTGCAGTGAGCCAAGATCTCACTGCTGCACTCCAGCCTGGGTGACAGGAAATGACCTTGTTTCAAAAAAAAAAAAAAAAAAAAAAAAAAAAAAATATATATATATATATATATATATACACACACACACACACACACACACACGATATATAAAGGCAAGTTCTTCAAAATCTAATTTCATATCTAAAATTTCTACTGAATATTTTAATTTTTATATACCTTTAGAATGTCAATGAACAAATTTTCCCTATAGGTCTCTCTGCTGGTGCCACCATTCTCCCCATCACCTACACATAAAATTGTGGGACCATCTGTTTCAGCCTGGTCCTTCCTCCTCTTCGACTGAAAAATGACTGAGCCGTTGTCTACTTGCCCTTTAACACAGTTCACTTGCTCACTCATTTATTGATATAACAGGCATGTCTTACTCTTGTAGCCTAATGTCTCAGTATAGCCATCATTCAAGTAATAAAGTAGCCTTCCTGACTCACTTTCTATTTGATGCAAATTAAGTGTCACTAATAGCCTTGTCTTTCTTAAACATTGTTTTTATTACATGGGTCCTAGGATGATGAATTTAACAGGGCTTTTTTTCCCTGCCTATCAAATCAAATTTGAATTCTGCCTAGCTTTCAAGGCCCTCTATACATTGTTGGACTCGTTGCCCAAAGATACGCAGTTTTTTTCATTATCATTCTAACTAGGTTTTTATATTGTCCCTACAAAGATTCATCTAATTTTCACTGCCTGAAATAACTACTGCTTTCCTCCTGCCTCTTCAGATCCTCCTCTGTGAATATTAATGGATGAGTTCATTAGCATAAACATTACTCATGACTGTTAGTGCTATATTAAATAACATTTCAGTAAGAAATTAAGCTTAAATTACAATAACCCTTTTATTATAAGGCTTTAATGCATATTTCAGTTATTTTACCTTACGTAAGAAACAATTCTAGAGCTTCATTGAAATGATCTCCTTGGGTGTCTGTGCCGTGGCATTGTGGAGCATTAATAGTAATATATTTTTTGTATCTCAGTAAGTAAACCTCTTAGTTGGCTATCACAATCTGCTTATAAATTCCACTCTTTAAAAGACATTAATAGAGATGGTTTACTCTGTTTCTCAAATAAGACGGAAATTTTGAGAATTGAATTTCATTTAAAATGGGTTGGGGAAGGTACTAAAAGACCCTTGTTTATCTTTATTATTATCATCATCATTATCTGCTATTTAGTGAGTACCTAGCACTATGTGCCAGATAACTTGCAGTTTTTTAATATAAGCCTCACAATAAGATAAGTAATTTGTCTAAGGTTTCTTATCTTGTAAGTGGTGAGTCACAGTGGAAACCCAGATCTGGTTTATTCTAAAGCCTGTGATTTTTTTTTTTTCCTCAAAATGTGAAGCTACTGATTTATGTTTTATTAGATACAAGAATGCATACATTGTTTAAAGTAAGGCTTTAAACAATGTGTTCCTATTGTGACTAGGATATCTTTTAATACTTATTAACATCTCTCAGAACTAGTGGTATTTTCCAAAACGTATTTCATAGTAACACTAGTTCTGTGAGATGTTAATAAGTATAACTTGAAAAGTGAGTTCTGTGGTCAGTCAAATTTGGTAAACATTAAGTTAAACAAATTTGTTTACTACTGAATTTCTTTTTTTTTTTTTTTTGAGATGGAGTTTCACTCATGTTACCCAGGCTGGAGTACAATGGCGTGATCTCGACTCACCACAACCTCCGCCTCCCGGGTTCAGGCAATTCTCCTGCCTCAGCCTCCTGAGTAGCTGGGATTACAGGCACGCGCCACCATGCCCAGCTAATTTTTTGTATTTTTAGTAGAGACGGGGTTTCACCATGTTGACCAGGATGGTCTTGATCTCTTGACCTCGTGATCCACCCGCCTCGGCCTCCCAAAGTGCTGGGATTACAGGCTTGAGCCATCCCACCGGCCCACTACTGAATTTCTTAAAGGCTTTTTATCATGCTAACATATACTGTGAGTCTCTTTCCAGTACTTCTGTTAGCTAGGTGTTGGGATTTCTAGATCTGACCTTCCTCAGACCTCCTAGACCACACTTTGAGAACCACTGATCTAGGGCTCTTTTTATCACTGTCTTCTTAGTCTACTTTTAAATGATAATAAACCACTTTACATATAGGATAAGAAGCTTATGTCACTATACTTGAATTACCACTCCTCTTTATTATGTGCTCTTTTTGACATATATTTTACTTTGTAGTAAATCCTGTAATACATTGTTATTTTTTGCTTCAGTTATTTTTAAAAAGAGACTAAAAATGAAAAAAGTATATCTTTTATATTTTCTCATATAAAGTTATGTTTCTAGCACTCTTTCCTTTGTGTAGGTCCAGGTTTTTATCTGGTGTTATTTTCCTTCTGCCTGAAGAAATTCCTTTAATGTTTGTTGTAGGGCAGGCTTACAGAGAAAATAGAGGCTTTAGGTGTGGTCTCTCCCAGTGTGCTTCTCTTTCCTTTCCCTTCACCTCTATTCTTATCTCTAACAATGTCTATTTTTAATTTCTTTCACCCCTGTCTCAGAAGAGCTGATTCTTTTGCCCAGGACTGGCTAGTTCACCCGTGCCCTGGATATTATTCCATTACAACTCCAATGGGAGCCGTACGCTCCATCGATTATTTTAACTTTTCCGGTATCTCCCATGTCTTCCTCTCTTACATCTTTTCCCTTTAGCTTACAAATGTGCAGAAGTCTTTCATCCCAAGTCCCCTTTCTCATAGTGCTCTGCTATTTCAAGCTTCTGTTCTCTGTTCTACTCTCTACAATCAAACTTTCCCAAGTGTAGTCTGTATTTTTTCCAACCCATTACAGTATTTTTCTTCCCCCTCACTTTGCAAAACTGCGTTTACGAAGCTCTCCAGTGACCTCCTAATTACTTTATCCAATTACTATTTCCAGTCTTCATTCTATTCAGTTGTTTAATACTATTTACTGTCCGTTTTTGCAACTCTACCATTCTCATCCCTTCTCTGAAAATTCTTTTTCATTTTTCTTTACTAGTTCTTTCTACCTGCCTCTTTGTATTCTTCAACACCCTGCTCTTGAGCTTCTATTCTCAATATTGAATATTTCTTTATGGGCAATAATGTCTCATCCAGAGATTTTCAAAGTGTGGTCCCCAGACCAGCAATATCACCTGGGATCTCATTAGAAATGCAAATTCTCAAACCTGAATCAGCAGCTCTGAAGTAGAACCCATCAACAGATTCTGTTACATGCACGAGTTTGATTTG